AGCCACAGTTAGCTTAGCTTAGCTTACCTGCATATACACTGTTTTTGTCCACCGCTAAACTCGTTTCTCCCACAATGTGAACTTTTAGTTTTGAAGTCTGTTCAAAGTAAACCTTGAGTTCTTCTGCCCGGCGAGTTTTCCCGCTGCTGGGAAAACCGCACATCACTATGAGGGGCATGGTCGCCAATTATTTACACTATAGATTTAAAGACAGACTTCAACTTCCGCTCAGTCTTATTCTTTAGCTCGTTTAGCAAACGGAACATTAAGCGGCACCGCCACCAACTGGTGAAAGGTATGGATAGCATTGTTTTGCGATGTAAAGAGTGGGCCATGTAAATGATACTAAAAAAACAAATACTAACAAACAAAATTGATATACTTTTTCTGTGGTAGAAGTACGTAAAATAATTGTACTTATTTTTTAAAATGTTTTTGTAATTTACCTGAATTAAATAATAATATTCAAGTCACACTCTTGATTTTGATGGGCAATTTCCACATGGGACTGAGTTGTTCCTGCAGATCCTGACCTCTAGGCGGAGAACTTGAAGACAACCGTCTCTGCAGCACTTTTCTTTCCCATGAAATGCCCTTAGTGAAGAAAACAAACAGGTAAAGGTCATTCCACAAATTAAAGAAGTCATACATTCAACCATCGTCTTCATCTTGGCCTTACCTTTGACAGTTCAGTCCGTGTCTCCTGTCAAATGTTGCCTAATTGACAACGTCTCTACGAGGTAAAAGACAGCGTGCGAAAAGCGGAGTCCTGTCATTTTCTTTTTACAAACCTCAACCAAAACATTTAACCCACCGTTACAGACCACAGTTTGACAAGGCCTCAGGAAACATCAACGTCAGGTGTGTAATTAAATGCACTGATTTATTGGTAAGTACTTTATGTAAACAGAACAGCAAGGCACGTGGGCCACTGCATGCCAGAAAGATTTAATGATTTAAAGGAGAAACCTGGCAGTTTTTAAAACCACAAACGCTGTTGTCCAAAGTCTGCTGAAAAACAACATTTGGTCCAAGTTTGACGAGGTTGTACTTTTGGAGCCCAGTTCATCGTTACACCACGCTTTCTGGCTCTTTGTACGCTCAAATATATATTTGTAATATATATATATATATTTGCAAATATAAAGCAACACAAACTACTTCTTAAAAAATAAAATAAAACACTGTGTTTGAGTCAGTCATTGTGAATTAACATGATCAACACTGGGGGGGGTTTTCCCGCCCGGCAACACAGACCTTTGTAAACAACAGCGCTGCTGGTTATAAACTGCCAGACTCCTCCTTTAAAGATTGCTGTGAATCTAGGGTTCAGTGGCTAATATGTATGTACACATTATACTTTCCTCTATACACGTCTTCTCTGTACAAGGTATCAAAAGTACAAATCTGTTACAAAAGTCGATCCGCAGACAGACGGCTGCAGCAGCGCGTGGATCAACAGAGAAATTTAAAAAAAAAAGAAAAAGAAAGAGCTCCTGTTGCACTGACATACAAAAGTTCACTTGTCTGCTGAGTCAATATGACCAAACAGTCTAACAATCATTCCTCAAAAATAATTTATAAAATTTCATCATGTGGAATAGTACATTTATAAACTTTTTTTTTTAATACATTGCACTGAGATTTGCCTGCACCTTTGCGAAGCCTTAACAATCACTGCCATTCATGGAGGTAGCAACTGTCATGTACAAAACAAATGGTGGTCGTTGTACAAATCAAGACCTGGGAGAAGTCTGCTAATACCATGGTATTCTGGTTCAGAAGGAGGCAACTGGGTTTGACCGAGTATTTGGAAGATGGATTTTTGTGTTAATGCAGAGGATTCTTCTTCTGAAGATAATAGTATCTTCATGTCTGATACATTTTCTATTTTCTTTACTTGGGAGGATTCATTGATAGATGTAGGTTTGTGTCTTCTCCTGGAATTTTAACTGAATCTAAATCCTATTTGGGCCCTTCAACAGAAGAAGTAGAACTAGAAGAAGTGGAAGTAAAGGAAGTACAAGTAGATAAAGTTGAAGAAGTAACAGAAGTAGTCAAAGAGGTAGAAGTAGAAGAAGGAGTAAAGGTTAGTAGTAGTAGTGGAAGTACAATAAGTAAAAGTAATGGAAATAGAAGTAGGAAAGAAAAAAGGTGAAAAAGAAGTAGATGTCGAAGTTTCTTCGCAGTCTTTAGTAGCAGTGGCAAAAATAGCAGTAGAAGTAAAAGAAGTTAAAAGTTGTAGAAGACAAGTGTACATCCTTCATCAACCAAGTCTCCTAAATAAGAGGTGAAACGTCCTCAACTCTTAAAAACTCTGTTGCCTGCTTCAAAACTTCCAAGAAAGATCTACGAGATGGAACGGCCGTAGTTTTAACTTCTTTCTTTTCTAAGTTTTTTTCTAAAACCACCGACCGACAGTGACTCCGTGTTCCCAGGTCTGTGTTTCTAACATGAGATTTCCATCTGATGTGCAGACACACTTCACTTTCACCAACACACTCCAGATTATCCAAAAAAACAAAAACAAAACACGTACCCTGATGTGACATTACAATGACCGGTCCCCTGCCTGGAAAATACTCTACTGGCATTTTGAGGTATTTTCAGTCCTGCTGCATCGTTCCCATACCTCCACACAGTTCAAAGAAATATCAAACAAAACCATGGGTTAAAAAAAAAACCAAAACACATTCAAACCCACATTCAAATTTCCAAACCACAACTGGAACAACACCTGCGACTGGCCTGAAGTAATACTTAAAAATACCATAAATGAAAACCACGACCATATTTTTTTTTTGTGGTGATGAGTGCCAACTAATAAATGCACCTCTGTGCCGGCTGCTGCTGCTGGGGGAAAAAAAATAGGGCAACAGAAGTCAACATAAATGATGAAACCTGAAACTTGTTCAGGCAACAGCGTGTTGCAGTATTCAATACTTACTCTAACTAAGATGCTGTTTAAATGAACCATTGGTTATAAATACGACAGAAGGAAAGCAATCATCGATGTGTGACTAAAATCAGAAAACAAAAGTTCCTGAGTCTCCTGTCAGGACGGACAGAAAGTAAGAGAAACAGAAAAGGTAGAAATAAATGCTATAGCTGTAATGAAGAGTGCACCGGCTGTACTGTGAGCCTGAAAAGGCTGGATGATTATATTACTGACATGCAAAATTAAATTAAAATTTAAAATATGATTATTCATCTGTTGTCACATTTATATAAAACAAAAATACTGCTTGGATGTACTGCATAATCTCTGAATACATTGAAAAAGAAATAAAAAAGTAAATATACTTTTTCTAAAAAAGTTGAAACTAACCACCGAGCAGCTGTGGGTGTTCATGTGAAATCCCAAAAACCGTATATAAGAAATGGATGTTGGTATCGATCCACGTGTGGACAAATGAGGCTACTTCTCCGTGTTGTGTAAGAAACAATCCAGGTGTGGACAAATGAGGCTACTTCTCCGTCCAACAACACCATTGAACATTTTCCTGACACCTTTAGTCTACAAAGTGTTTTTTTTTGGATTAGATGATAATACGATCCCTTTTAGAGGAAAACGAACGACTCAGCACTGCAGTCCGGTCTGGTTGGTGTTTTCATGTTAGCTCCTGATACCACATGTAAACACTACCAGCTTCACCTGAATGTGTAAGCACCATAAAAAACAAAGACATCACAAGGTGAGACCACTAAAGAACGCTGGGCTCTAACTTTAAACCCTAGAGTTCACTGTGGGGTCACCGGGTCCAAACAAGTGCACACATGCTAGCAGCGAGCATCATTCTGGAAAACACAAGAACATGTGACCTGATGCAAGTCGCAAAGTGACCAGTGAGAAGTAGCCTCATTTTCACACATATTTCCATTATATAGCGTTACTTCAAAAACCAGCGCAAAACCTACGGATGTATTTCCATTCCAGCCATGTCAGTGACTGGAGGGAAAAATCTAGGGATGTCCGATAATATCGGCCGGCCGATATTAGCATAATTGTGTAATATCTGTAAGAATCTTTATCGTTTTTTCTTTCAATAATAAAAACCCGATAACGCAAGACCTGGGTTACGCCAAATGATGTGTGACCTAAAAATAGTTTTGGGGGGAAAACGGCTGTATATTAACATGAAAGACACTAGATGGCAGCAGTGCAGTTCATGTAATTAATCTTTTTTTTTAATAATCAGGGGATTGTATGCAGAATGCTGTTACCAGGAGCTCATACAGATAAATAAATATTACCAGGCCTATATCGGTATCGATCGATATCAGCAAAAAGTTCATATCTGACATCCCTAGAAAAATCAAATTTTGCTGTTACACGCCAAACCCTGTGTAAACTTTGCAGATTGCTTTTTTTTTTTTTGTAAAAGTGACGGTTGTTTTTCTTCTGGTTCCTGAAGACCTTATGTTTCTTTCAATTAAAAAAAATAAAATAAAAAAGTAAAGGGTTTTTACCATCAGATTCAGAGCAGCAGATTCTGACCCATCCATACACTTATATACGATTTATGAGAAAGCCATGCTGACGGTAAGGAGCCGCAGCCTTTTGTTACCGTGAAGCCACTGCTTGTGTGTTAGAGTGAGCGCTCACTTTGATGCCGCAGTCCACGGTGGTTTCACAGTTCACACTCACCGGCCGTTCTCCCTGCGAGGGCGCCGTCTCGGCGAGATCTGTCGACAAATGGTCTCTCCCCTCGGTCTCTGCTGACTTTACGGGCTGATTATCACGCTGCACTTTTCTGACCTTCACTACTTTCCTCCCTTCCTCGTCCTCCTCACCAGGACCTTTGACTTTGTGGACGATAAAAAGATGCCTGTTGAGCGACAGCACGGACGTGAAACACAGTCCGCAGTGAAGGCACTGAGGAGTGTTCTCATCGGTTTTATGCTGAGGTATGTGCTCCTGGAACCGAGCGCTGTCGTCGGTGACAAACCCACACTTGGAGCAGCGGAACTGAGCTTTCAGACGCTTCACGGGTGGAGCCCCCGGACTCCCACCCAGATCCTGCCTCTCCTTCTGTGTGCCGTCTGGAAGTCCGTCTAATAAACGTCCCTGCAAATGGAGGACAAACACCATCACATCACTGTAGCCACTCACACTGAAATAGATTTGATTGAAAACACACAGTTGATATACACCTTGGCCAAAACTTTTTTGGACTCCAGGGTTAATGTTCTGGGCATTTGGCTGAGGTCAGGGTTTTTGATTCCGTGCATCAGACTGATGTGATTCTTCAAGTTCACACTCGTCGTAAATACTGTCTTTGTATCGGTGCAATACCTGGAGTCGGAGAAAAAAGGGCAGGAGTGGAAACATTCAAGACTTGAGGGAAACGGGAAACACATTTTAGTATATGTTAAAAAATATACTGTATATATATATCTTACCCACAGGTGAAGGTTTTCTTTTTTCCTCGATGGTCACTGCGAACGTGTCTCTTCAGACTGATTGGAGAGTTAAAAGATTGCTCACAATGTTGACATGGATACTTCTTCACCTTCTGTTGATTTTGAATCAAGCGGAAAAAAAGGAGATGTTTTTTCTTTTGCCGAAGGGACGAAGACATTTTTTTCAGTATTTGATTCATGACTGTTTTTATTAATATTGAGCAGGGAATTTAAACGGTTTCATTTAATCTCCTCCATGAACCCTTACCTTCCCGTGTTTGCTCTTTTGTTATTAATATTAAGCAGGGAATTTAAATTGTTTCATTTAATCTCCTCCACGAACCCTTACCTTCCCGTGTTTGCTCTTCACATGTGAAATGTAGGAATCTCTCTCTGGAAACCACTGGAGACACTCGCCACACGTCCAACCGTTCGGTTTCACTCGGGTTCTGCTGTCCCCCCGCTCCACCTTCTTTCGGGGACCGTCTGTGTGTTTGACAGACATCTGAGTCTTTTGCTGTTGGACGGGTCTGTCCTGGCACCAGTCGGTGTTGTCAGATTGTCGACTCTCGCTCTTCGTCTCCGGTGTTGTGGTTCCTATGTGCACGGACTAGCAAAGAAAAAAAAGAACAACGCAAAATAATAATAATGAACGTGACCATGCAATTGAGTCAACATGGTCTGCATCCTTTTTTTTGGTCTACATGAGAATTACAGAAACAGATCTGAGAAAAATGTAATCAATCAAACCTTGAAGTGCTGCATTAAAAGATGCTTTTGTGGAAAGACGGAGTTACATTCTGGACACTTGAATACACAGGTGACGCGCTTGTGGGCGTTTTGATGGAAATGCTGCAACAGCAACGGCTTCTTCTTGAATATGGTCTCACATGAACACTTAAAGATTAACCTGCAGGATAAGTAGAAGAAGAGATGAAGAAATGACCCGTGAAGCTGTCAGTCGGGATGCAACGGTGTAAGACAATTTGCATCAGTTGAAAGAATTAATCACGCATTAAGACGTAAGGAGCGAGCTGCATTATCTCAAAAAGTCAATGGTCATACCATGGGACTACAAGCTCTTGTACAGCAGGTGGCGGTATTTGCTAAAAATGTTGGTTGTGACCTGCTATAAAACCAAGATGTCAGATCCTTATGTGACATTCAGGTGTTTTACAGTGAGAAAAGAACTGTCGTGTAGAGATGTTTATTTTTTTTGTATTCTGTTGAGTGTATTGTTACATCCGTAGCTGTTAGGGAAAAAAAATAAAATAAATAATGTTCTTGTCATGAGGGCTATACTCACTGAGGGCTACTTGTTTTGCTTGCACTGTGTTTGTTCTTCATGTGCACCTCACAGCTCTCAGGAGTCTTTAAGGCAACTGGGCACATGGAGCACTTGTAGAAGACTTCACAGTGTTTCTCTTCAATGTGACTCTTTTGTCCTTGGAAGGTCTTGAACACCATATCACAGTGAAGACATCTGCAGGCAAGAATATGGCAATATTTGTATTATTATTATTATTATATTCTGCGGAATAATAAAGTTTAATCCTAACTTCACATGACATTGCACATACTCTTGGTCATTAAACCAACTAACTTCACATGACATTGCACATACTCTAATCCAGTTATATCTCATTCCAAATTTTTTTTGTATTTTAAAAATATTATCTATTTCTTACACTTAAGTATATTTCTCTTGCTCTCTGTGAAAAACTCTTGCAGGAATATCAGTAACACCAACAAGTTCCCCACTGAGATGAAAACAGGTATTTCTGATACTGATACTTCATTCACAGATAAGTGAAAACTTACAGTACATTTTACAGCTATTAAATTCAACAGTGATGAGAAAACTTTGTACGACTTTTTAGGCAAAACTAAACAGAATTATTTTTTATTTATACCAGACAAATCTAGCTTTTCAACCCCTGATGCACTCAGTATAAACATTTAAAAAACATTAAAACAAAGGTTCCTGGAGGTTTATCCAAACTTGTAAACTTACTTGTACCAAGACTTGCGTGCGTAGTGCAAACAGTTTTCCTTGACGTGCTTCTGGATGTCAGCCGAGCGGCTCAGGCCGCCACACTCAGGACAACAGTACGGCGACTTGTGTGCATGTAGGCGTTGGTGAGCTCTGAAGCTGCACTTGTTTGGTAGCAACATTGAACACACCTTACAAATCTGTGAGACAGAAGCCGAAAAAGTGTCAGTCGTTGGAAAACACAAGATGAAAGCAAATTTTTTTTTACGTTCCAATGTACCGTCTACTCACAAGTCCGTCCACGTCCTCCGACGACCTCTGGTAATGGCCGGCCAGAGCACTGTGGTCAGGTAACTGCTTGTTGCACTCTAAGCACCTGATTCTGTGCCGGGCGACGTTGTCCGGGTACAGGGGCAGGACGGCTTGGTTTTTAGTTGACAGTAATGGCTGAGAGTCTACATTCAGAGGTTCGGAGCTCAGGGGAACAAACATCTGTTCCTCGGCGATGGGTTTCAAGTGAAGCTGCGTGCACTGCATCACCTTGCCGTTACTTTTGTGCTCCCTGGCATGTGCCAATAAAGCACACTTGTTGTAAAACACTATCGTCTTCGCACAGTGTGTACATCCCGCTTCGATGTGAACGCTCCTCCTGCTGTAGTGGTACGCCAGACTCCTCTCCAACCCGAAGGAGTCGCCACACTCAAGGCAGCAGTACCCACGAGGTGGAAGGCTGATGTCGCTCTCCGCAGGTGGGTTCAGGTTGGGCACGTACGTAGGCACAGGGTTAGTGTTGTTCAATAGTCGGTTCAGGGTTCCTGCTATGGAGTTGGGCATGGATGATCGGGGGTAAGTGTTTGCCGTTTTGACCTGGTGCACCAGTGGGACAGTGCTGTACACTGTGGAGGCCAGTGTGTGCTGGCTCTGTTGATGAGAAGTGGAGCGTGCAGCCACTGACGCGGCAACGCTATGAGGAACCAGGTTCAAACTTGCTAAGTGCACCGCTTTGGGGAGGAAGCTTGTGCTTGGGGAAGCGCCTGTTGCGGCGGACGCTCTCTTTGGTTTCTGCCCGTGCTGTTGACGTGATCTTTTGGTATGATGTACGACTGCTGTGGCCTGCAGAGGAACTGACCTCCTGGGGTTTGTTAGTAATTTCTTGTGCAGAAGATTTGGTGAACCTGCACTTCTGGGTGTGCCCCTGCTGTGGACTTCGACATCAGCAGCTGCACTTTGATGAGGAGACATGTTACAGTAGGAATCTTCGCTGATCATACTCTGAGCAGGAGACGATTCGTAGGTCGAGTGAACTTCGTCTGTTTCCGAGTCAGGTAAGACACTGGTGACTGTGCGCTTGATCTGACCAGATGTGGTTTTGATGGTTTTAATTCTGACCCTCGGTATGGCGGGCGGTGACCCAGGTGCCACCGCTGGAGACACTATGCCGCTGCTGTCACTGCAAATACTTATAGGACTATCTGAAGGTTTCATTAAACGTTTCACAGCTTCCAGTGGACTTCTGGGACTTATTGGGGATATGGGGACCTTGGGGCTAGCTTTGGTGGAATCATTATGAAGTGCTACTGAGTCTCTGAGATTTGTCTGCTCACTGGGATCTTTTCTAGGATTTAAAGCCGCTAAAGCCTCAAGGCAAGAGGATAGTTTAGACGTCTGGGGTTTGATGTATGGATAAGAGGTGGGAACATCAATTGTGGCTCCTGAATTGCAGTTAGACACAAAGTTCTGGTTGCAGTTCGGTGGGGTTCGTGCACTTTTCACTTCAGGTGTAAAATCCAGTTTGCTACCGTCAGTGGGCTCATTACTTTGTCTACTTCCTGTTCGGCTGCTCTGAGTTTTCTTGGGGAGATCTGAATCCTTTGGACACTCAAACATACTGAAGTCCAACTTCTGGGTGTCATCTGGTACTGACGGCTCAGCCAAAACTGGAGCTTCGGGGAAACAGGGTCTCTCTTGTTTGGGAAGCATGTCTTCTCTACTGCAGCGAGTGTCTTCAGACTCCGGACTTGAGATGGGACTAAAATGGGAATGCGTCTGGGAAAATATTGCTGTTCCGTCAGTTTTGTGCTGAACTGGTGTTTTGCAGAAGAACTCTCTAGAATCTTCACCATTCAACGCAGAAGCAAATGATTTGGAGAAGCCAGGATCATCAAGCTCAGGTTCATGAGAGGTTTCCTGTCCCCTGAATCCATTCTGCAACGCTGAGCCAGTGTGAAGCCTGTCACCAAAGTCCTCTAGCGACCCCTGGCGACTTGTGTTTTTCACAATAACACTCACGGCAGGTAAATCAGAAGCTGAGACTGTTTGGTTGCTCAGTAAGCCATCATCCAGACACATTCCTGCGTGCTTCAGCTGACTCTCCTCATGACTCCCCTGGATAGGCTCTTTAGCATCCAAGCCTGTGGCATCGGGGATGTCAAATGCAGCCAGCAGATCATCAAAATCTGGGGTTTTCATGTCACCCATGGCTGCACAGTTTCACAAACCTACAACAACACATAGAAATTTAATGTTAGGTTTAATTTAAAAGACAAAGCCTAAACCTGTATATAACAAATAAGGGAGATTGACGATTTTAAAAGACAAAACCTAAACCTGTATATAACAAATAAGGGAGAGAAATACTAAGTCCTTGAGTAAAAGAAAGCAGTTTAATCCATTGTTAAAATTTTGAAAGTAGACTAGACTCCTTGACTTTTGTTTATTTTTGAGGCATTTTTTGGGGAAGAATCTTAGCCTGAAAAGAAAAATAGCAAAGAAAGCAGTTTAATCCATTATTAAAATTTTGAAAGTAGACTAGAATTCTTGACTTTCTTTCATTTTTGAGTCATTCTTTAGGGAAGAATCTTAGCCTGAAAAGAAAAATCAGAATTCTAAAATATAAAGTCCTATAAGCCCTGATTTAGTGTCACGTATTTTTAATTTTCCTGAATTCATGAGTCAAATAGATAGTCACTAAAATCCAGTACATGATTAGTCATTGATGTTGATGAAACATAGACAAACTTCACATCTGCTGGGCAGCAGTGACAAAGCCAAGTCAAAGTAGACTACAGTGACACACAGAGTGGATATTTGGGATGTGGATACAATGGGATGTTGGTTGTTGTTGCATAACGAAAGAAAAAAACCCCCCAAATGACACAACTGCAGCCTTAGAGCAACAATTTTTGCAAGAGCAAAAGATAAACAAAAGTTTCAGAAATTCTTAATCCAAACTCCAGTTAGCTGCACAACTGCTAGAAGATAAGAATTATCTTCAGGAAACCAACATCAAGATTGAACTGCTCAAACCCCACAGTTTGTCTGTAGAGTGGATTCAATAACTGTTTGTCAAAACTGAAAGAGCTTGACAGTTGTGCTAAAGAAGCAGGGGGTGGACTGACTCTTACCATGAGCAACATAAGGACACGTAACAAAATGTATTTATGCAAAGTAGCTCCAGTCCAGTTGTATACAGCAAATGAGAAATAAAAATATCGAATATGAACATGAAAACGCTAACCGTTTCGTAAATACATCCAAGTGATTGAAACGTGCATGGGTATGTGTGCCAATGTTTATCATTCGCTGGGAATCCCTTCGTTAGCTGACTAGCCTTAAGGCTACTCGTACAGCAATGTTGTTATATCCAGAAAGTAGCTGTGACAGACACGTATTTTCAAATACTAAGACAGCAATTGTAAACACAGCTGTGGCTGGTGATACCACGAATGTGTCATCAACACACTTCTTAAAATGGCCAGACTAGACGAGAGTTGTTTTGATGTTAGCGTAGTTAGCATGTAGCTTTATTAGAGAAGTTAGCTTGTTAGCAAACTAGCGACAGCAACACATCAGCGGGGCAATATTACACGTATACGTGCTATTCCAACACTATAAAAATATATAATTGTACGTGATTTCCTACCATTTGAACCGCTTGAGTTTAGCAGCTCAGGTAACTTAGCCTGAAAAGCAGATAGCTATAGGCGCCGACAGCTCTCCAGCTACGTTAGGCTGCTGCAGAATTTCATAGCTAAGCTACAAGCTAACAGCGCTTACTTCCGTTTCCGTTGTGCAACAAAATAGGCCCACCGCACTGTCTTACAGGCGACGTAGGCGTTCGGTTAGGACTTAAACTTGTCCACTTGACAAACCACACCGTGTTTTAAAATTATGTATTCGTTGGTATTACTACTGTCACCTTCATGATGTCGGGGTAACTTACTTGTCATTGGCAGCTAGAAAAAAAAGTAAATATGCAACTATTTAATAAAACAATCTACCAATGATAATATTAAAATCAAAGTGTCAGCTTTCAATTATTGAAATAGTTCTTTATGTTCACTTAAAAAGGAGAATGAGATCTTGACGTGTGGTTCAGCTGTGAACACGCAATGAAGACGTCATGGCTGTATTTGATTACAGAAGTGCAGAGGTGATGCATCATTTTAAAACCACCAAAGTCCAAAAGGCAAAAGTCAAATGTTGAAACATATGTGCCCCAGATAGGTTACTGAGGGGGAAAAAAATCCTATAATTAGCCACACACCTAAAACCTAATACTCACAATAATGTTATCATTTTACTTTTTTTATTGAGTATGTCTGATAGACTTTCTTAAGGCAGTTCCAAAAACATAAAAATCAATGAGACATTCCCATAATGGCCAACAAAATACAATAAGGACCATTCTAACTCTTTGTGTTTGACTCTGTAATGTCACCTTAAAGGCATTTGCTCAACTGTTTGCTATTCTTGAGAAATAAGTTACTGTTTTACTGTTTGTTCCCAATTCTCAAAGCCAGGACTTCTTGCGTCGGAGGTTTCCCTTATCACACAGAAAGGAAGTTAATATAAAAGGATTAAAGGATTTGAACTGATGGAATATTTGCCAGTTTAGTGATGTACTGTAAAGAACCGGTATTTGGTATTTGTGGGGCATTTATGGGCAACTGTCCAGCCACTGTACAATCCATTCCAGTCTTGGAGGTGAGTGACTCTTCTTACAAACCGTATAATCGTATAAAAAGTGAGGGCAAAAGACAAAGGTAATGGAAAAAAGATAGAACTGATCGTAAGTCTGTATCCACAACTTAAAGTCTTCAATCATATTATTTTAACAAGAATCTACGGACAACATAAAACCTGAAGCTTTGATGTTTCTTGTTGAATCTTGACCATCACCAACACAACACAACCATGAACTCAAACGCGCTGAAGATCCAAGAGCTTCTTGACCTGGAGCCTGTAAAAGACACCCACTCTCCTGCACGCCTGGCCAACGACAAGACTGAACATCCTCCCCGAGCTGCAGGACAGAGGCAGACCAAAGCTCCCTCAAACGTGGAATCACCAGAGGAGGAGAAGCAGGATTTTAGTGTGGCTGAGGAAAAATGGCAAGCCCAACATGGAAAACCCAACAGGCAAGAAAGAAACTCCACAAGTGACTTTGAAGATTTTCCAAGACAGACAAACAGACAACACGTCTACCTTGTGGCAAAACCTGAAGCTCGTGTAACCTGTCTGACCTCACCAGAGGTTGAAGTACAGAGAAGTGATAAGCCACCGCTTCATTCCTCGACATCCTTGCCCCTGGAGTCCTCCGAGACCCACACTGTTCTACAGCGCAGGACACCGCTGTCTCAAGGGGGCGCTGCAGGGATTAAAACGACACAATGTGGAGAGTTCCCTCCTTTGTCACAACCTCAACTGTCAGGCAAACATCTAAAAGGTATGTGCTAACTCATCTGGTTAGAACCTCAGTGCTGCCACACCTCCCACCTCCGATCACTGACCGTCAGTGAGTTCTTTGTCAGTCTACACTACGGTCCCGGGGTTGGGGGTTTCACAGTCACATGTTGTGTGCATTTACCCAAAAAAACAAAAAATAGACATTTAAATTTGTCATTTTTCTACAAAAACAATCACAAAAAGTTGACCTAAAACACCATACCTTGAATATCCAAACTCTTTGATGATCAGTGCGATACTTCATCCCGTTACTTACACGTTAGCTAGTTGGCCCCTTAACCACCAGACCACTGCGGAGGAGACACACGTTCCACATTTTGAAAACCCTTTACCTTAGTGGTCCAATCATTAGATCGTCAGATCATCGGTTTGTTAAAGCAGCTAAAAGATAACTTTAAGAAATACCGTAACATTCAAGTCTCGGACTGAGGACTCAATTCAGACTCTACTTTGTTGACTGACATGTCCATATTGTACCAGTGTTTTTTTTATGTGTCCAGTCTTAATGATGAGTCTGTTTTCTAGTACCGATCAATTCACATTTGATCACTTCCACGGGGCTGTTATGAGGGACAGAGTCGTTGCAGAGTTGTTTTGGAGGCACCTTGGGTTTGAGTGTGTGTGTGTTTGTGTAGAAAAGATAACATTTTTGCCGTGTGTCAAAATTGTAACAAGTGGCTGCAACTGTATCATCGGCGTAAGTTTGACCTCAAAGCATTTTGTTGGACGCAGCAGATAAAGAACAGGACTTGATCTCAAGGCTAACTGAGCTGGGCAGGTGTTTTCACTGTGTGACATTATTACAAGTTTTAGTTACTAAGTAACAAAATAGTAAGACTAAAGACATGCCAAATATATTAGCTAAATAAACAAGTCCTGTATTGGCTCGAAGGGACTTTCCTTTGCCAGAAAATTATTCTTAAAACAAGACCAAATGTTTTTTTAGGTAAATTGCGATAGGGTTCATAGAGGAACTTGATGATTGTTTTATGCCTCACATGGTTCTTTTTGTTGAACATTCTTGAAATTCCTCTTTTGCAATACAGGAACACCTACAACTACCATTAGTAGTTCATTTCGTTCTTGATTATTTACCTGCGGGAGACAGCACGTAAACTGCAGAGACAGTAAGAGCGTGTAAAGTAAGAGCTCAAACCACTCCTCCACCGTGCAGCCATTTTGCTGTTATTGTTTACTGGGAAAAAAAATGACAACCTTGTATATTGAATGGAATCATGTCATATGAGTAAGATTAGATAAAACCATTCTGCAGTAAGCCTCTTTGATCATTATTAGCATTATCTACTTATCAGACTGGTGTGATGTCATACATACGTTTGCCTTCAGCCTGTGAGAACGGTCGCCTGTTTTTCATGATGTGGCGAAATGACGGAGCTGACCGCCGTCACGTTCACTCAGAGGCTGCTTTCTTAAGGCCAATCAAATTCTTTCAGTGTTGCCGTGACACAGCCGTGCACTTCCTGCTGCAGATGAAAGCCTTACGCACCACTTCTGTTAATTAGTGATACGATGTTTCAAAGAGGGCAGAGTATATTTCCTCCACCACAGCGTGGTTTACAACCGCAGCACTTGACAACTGGAACTGGAAGGAGGACGCACAATGAGTAAGAGATTCAATCTGGCTGCTTTTCTCTGCTTCAATTCAACACTTTGGGGGTTTTTTTTAGCAGTTTTAAATTCTGGAACATGGAAACCCTCAGGGACCGTGTAGACTTATTTTAGGGTTTTTTTTTTTTTTTTTTATCTCTGAGTGTACACAGAGACACAGAACTTTCTACCTGTTTGACATTGAGCTGGTCGGCCGAAGCTTGAAGCTACTTTTACTTGAAACTTGAAAAAAGTATCTTGTATGTTTATATATATATATATATATATATATATATATATATATATAATATATATAACACACAACTCGTCTTACTCTATGACCTACTATGACTATAGCTGTACTTTTTTATTATTTATTATTATTTATGTATTTTTGTATTTTTACTGTAGCTTGATTGTCGACTGACTGACTCAAATTGTATGTCGCTTTGGATAAAAGCACCTGCTAAATGTATTGCAATGTAATGTAATATATGTCATATATATATATATATTTTGTTTTGACAGCTGAACTCCTTTTACCGCATTATGTAAACCAGTCCAAGAGAAACGGCATAGACAACCAGGCCTTTGAGATAGAGGTATGTATCTGGTGCTTTGATAAAAAATAAAAAAATAAAACTAAAAACACAAATATTTAAAAAAAAAAAAATATTAAAAATAAAACTAAAACCACAAATATTTAAAAAAAAAAAAAAACTTTTACCATAGGAGGACAACGTTACTGACTCCAACAGCTTCCAAGAAAAAAGAAAGAAGGGACTTGGCTCGTACCTGAGGTGTGTCCCTTTGACTTATTAAACAGAACAATACAGGAAACAGTAGCTCTAGGTATTTACGAAAGTCTAAAACCCACTGTATGATGTAATTTGATCTTACCTGGAACTTCTTTGTTGTATTTTGCAACTGCACGCTAATGAAACGCTAGTGCAAATACGTATTAAAGACACACACTTACTATTTAGACAGAGTTAGGACAGAAGGAGAACGTACTGTCCCCTCAGAGATGGACCTCACTTGACATCTCCTCTCCACTTTAGCCACGTTTCGAAGCCGATCAACGCCACAGAGGATTACATCAAGACTCATGCCCAGACCTTCAAGTACATCCTGCTGGGAGTTCTTGGAGCAGGTGATGTCAGAAAAAAAACAAAACCACAGAGAAAACTGAGTTAGTCAAAGGTTAATCCAGTACACAGAACATTCTGCAGCAGAACCTGGTGCTGTTCTTTAGACAGGTGTGTCCAAAGTGTGGTTTGGGGGATCACTTGTGGCACGGGTTTAATGTGGTCCATTTTGAACAGGTTCAATGAAACAGTTTGGTCTGTAGCTTTGATTCCTGTGTTTTAATTCTGGCTTTAAGTGAGAATTGATTTTTAGTTAAGTCGGTTGAATATTAATTTATTTGAGCGACCTTAGACCTTTTTGTCTGCCACTCAATCCAGTTAGATGTTTTCAAACTCTAACTGTATATTTAAAGTATCTTTATTTCTTCCTTATCTTTTTGTTTCAGCCATTTTGACTGACATTCTTCAGCATTCTTTAGAACTACTGATTAACTTTTATGTTTTTGACTGAAGCTAGGGATTTTTTTCCCTATTTTTAAACAGATAAGACATTTTATCATTTTAGCTTTAGCAGTTCTGAGGTTTTTGGTTGGCAGATGAACAACTTTTTTTGCAGACTTGTGCAGCTTGTTGGTTTTTTTTTTACTTCTAATACCGAAGAAAATTGCACTTTTAATTTAAAAATAAATGTATCAAAAACTGGACACCCCATTTTACTCCTGATTGAAATTGAATTTTTCTTTCTCTGCAGGTTATGTGGCGTACTTCATAGCCGCCTGTGTGTTGAACTTCCAGCGAGCCATCGCCCTCGTGGTCCTCACCACTTTGGCCGTGGTCTTTAAATCCTACGAGCTCTTAAAGAAATACAAGGGCGACAGCATTAGTGAGTTCTTCAGCCCTGCGGTCAGATGCTTCAACTCCAACCTGAGATGGATCAAATGGTGGGTGAACGCCTTTCAGACCTTTCCTGCAGAGGAACAGGGTTCGGACTGAGGATGTGTTTGCTGTCGTTTCCCAGGGTGTTCATGTTGGCGGCTCTGGTGCTGCTGCTGGTGTGGCTCGTCCTGGACACCAGCCAACGTCTGGAGCAGCTGATATCGTTCGGGGGCGTGTGCTTGTTCATTTTTCTGGTGTTCCTTTTCTCATCACACAGATCACAGGTGAGTTTTTTTTTTTTTTTTCTTAACATTCAATGACTCAGCTGGATGGCTGTACCTGCAGTTGCGGTGCTGACAGCCTACGTAGGTGTTTTTACCGTTAACTTATCTCAGAGCTGTGATATCGACCTGACCTTGGCCCTTTATTATCTTAAGGTTTAGCATAAGTGCTTCCTTGGAATATCACAAGCGTCAACGAGGACTTCCTAATACACTGACTGACCCTTGATTTGGTTTTAGGTGTCATGGAGGCCTGTCCTGTGGGGTGTGGGGATCCAGTTTTGCATGGGCATCTTTGTTATCAGAACACAACCTGGACTCGCAGCTTTTGATTGGCTCGGAAATCAAGTGAAGGTAACGACAGATGACGTTTATGTATTTATGTATATGTAGTAAAACATATCATTTTTAATCATACCTATGCAGAAACAAATGGGGGAAAATAGCAATAAAACCCTAAATTGACATTTGACATTAGTCAGTATTTTAAAGAAAGTTAGTAATTTATACAACACTAACTTCATCAATACCTTCTAAAACATGAAGACAGGGGCAAAACAAGATGCCAAAAGGGGCCAAAATTAAAAAATAAATAGTGTCCCATCCTAAAATAGTGCCAGAAGTGTGTCGGCTGTGGTTGACGTTGTGGTCTAAAATGTTGAAATACCAGACACAGGCCACTAAAGTCAGAGTGAAAAGAGTTTTGTGGTACAGAAATATAAAGTGTACACGTTGTAAAGATTTTTTTTTAATCTTGTTCTCTGATCTCAAACCCCCAGGTTTGTGTACCTGTTAACCGTCCGTCCCTCATTATCTACCAACTGATGGAGTTGTTTATTAAACAGCCACTCAGGTGTCTCTTATCTTTAGGGCCAGATACATTGGCTATTAACTCGTGTCCTTACTTTTTACAAGTGGTGGAATCAGCAGAATGTGTTTCTACCTTTATCTAAAACCAGAAGTTTCCAAATGTGAAGCCCCCTAGTGGCCCCGGCCCAGATCCTGATCGGCCACAGTTACTTCCAAAATATCATTTGACTCTGACCCTACGCAAAGAATTGAAAGATTGATTTTGTGGAATTCTAAAAGTGTCGTTTCTTCTCAGATCTTCCTGGAATACACCAAGGCAGGGTCCTCGTTTGTTTTTGGTGACCTCATCGATGGGATTTTCGCATTTACAGTAAGAAGAGGAGACACAAACATCTCATTTACACTCAAGCTTATGCGACATTAAAGTACGGGGTCAGTCGGGGGCTTCAAGATACGAGCTCCTCGAAATACGAGTTTTCTAAGGTACGAGTAAGCAAACTTCTGTAAGATTTTCCTCGAAACACACTGTGGCGCTTTGCGGATTAAACTCGTATCTTGAATCTCCGCTGTAACGAGTCAGAGTGAGCGTGACACCTTTGACTTACCTTCAGGCGCTGCCCATTGTGGTCTTCTTCAGCAGCGTGATGTCCATCCTTTACTTCCTGGGGATCATGCAGTGGCTCATTCTGAAGGTAGGACCAACAACGTTGACATCATGTGTGTATTTTACACATACTCTGACGTCATACACAGATATATGTTTTACTTACCGGTGATATACGGTGCCCATGTGTTTGTCCACGCAGATTTCCTGGCTGATGCAGATAACGATGGGAACCTCTCCCACTGAGACCTTGAGTGTAGCAGGAAATATCTTCGTGGGGCAGGTACGATGGACGCGGATTCTCGTCCTGTGTTTTGCGTAAACATTTTTTTTTACATTTTAACAACAGTGTTTACCTACGCAACATATCATTTTCTTGTGTGTATATTAGACGGAAGCGCCGCTGCTGATCCGTCCTTATTTGAAGGACATGACCAAATCGGAGATCCACGCCGTTATGGTCGGTGGGTTTGCTACCATCGCAGGATCCGTCATGGGGACGTTCATTCTGTTTGGAGTAAGATGAAAACCGTTAATGCTGAAACATGCATATTTACTGACAACATTGTAGGAACTTAACTTTTAAACAGCCTGTTAACTCCCTGTGATAAATTTTCGAGGACATGAATAGATTGACAGGCGCAGGTTTAGTATTTTCTTTCTTTTTTTTTTGAAGTTAGCTATTAATGCTATGTGGATTGACGCTAAACGATCATCTACATTTTTGTCTGAATTCTTGCTATTTTATGGCTTACTTGGTGGACCTTTTGTAAAAGTTTTGATTTTTTTTTTAATGCTTACTTTTAAAGGTTACAGCTAGCCATCGTTGAACAACAAAACATAACAACAAATATTTGCACTTCTCTAATGTTTTATGTATAAACGGCTTTCTGTATTTGCTACAGAGGCCCAGCTGTTTGCAAAACAACTCACTAATATAAACGGCTTTCTGCCCAGCTGTTTGCAAAACAACTCACTATACTTTATATGGCAACATAAAAAGATAGTTTCTGCCTCTGCTGGTCTACTCCTCCCGTTACCTAACACTGTTTTATAGGTAAAATTATAACCTTTTTATTACAGCTGAAGGCAATTGTCCTGTAAATACGTAAAGTCAATATAAACTGCGTAACTGACTCTTCTCCCACTTCTGTAAAAAAAAAAAAAAACCTGGACATTTTTCAAAGCTCGGTCATGACATTCCCAGATGAGGTGTCGACCTCCTACTCTACAAAACAAGATCATACTGACCTGTCATGAATGACTTGCTATGTATCACTAATTCCAATCCATGCTCCAGTAATGACTGGAAACAGTATGATATCTGAAGTTTATATATATAAAAAAATGAACTAATGTGTTTGGCATTTGCAGTGAATCAAATTGTCTGCGACAGTCTTTTCAAACCTTGTGTTTTTGGATTGTAATTGTAGTCCAGGTAGTAGGAGTGCGTATCGGCAAGAATTTGGCGATGCGATATGTATCACGATACAGGGGAGACAATAAAAACAATATATATATTCACAACACGTCCCGACTAATCATGCAAACATGACTCTATCGACAGATTGACCCCGCCTCGTTGATATCAGCCTCCGTCATGGCCGCCCCTTGTGCACTGGCCATCTCCAAACTGTCTTATCCAGAGACTGAGGAGAGTCAATTCAAGGCAGACGAGGATATCAAGATAGCAGTGGGGTGCGTTCACTCAACCGTTCCATTCTCCTCAGTCCCGTCACTAATACTCCACATGTTCCAGATCAGTGTTTGTGAGTTAAAAGTCCTGTTCTTTTTTTAACCACACACAGAGATGAGAAGAACATTCTGGAAGCTGCTTCCTCCGGAGCTTCTGCCTCCATAGGCCTGGTTGCCAACATTGCGGCCAACCTGATTGCCTTCCTCGCCATCCTGGCTTTTATAAATGAAGCTCTGAGTTGGCTCGGAGGAATGGTGGGGTATCCTTCGATCACATTTCAGGTACTGCCTTCAAATACGCAGTAGTCGTGATACTTGACTTATAACGTATTCTTCTTCCTGCTGCTTCTTCTTTGGCTTCTCTATCCAGGGGTTTCTTACCGTCTTCTCTCATGACCGTTACTTTTAAATGTTGCCACCTGCTGGCTGGAGTGCGTGCATCAGAAATCAGAAAACTAAGGGACACGTGTTCTGTTTGTGTTTTGTGTCTCAGCTAATTTGCTCCTATGTGTTCATGCCTGTGGCCTTCATGATGGGAGTCCCGTATGAGGACAGTTTCGTTGTGGCTGAACTCCTCGGTGTCAAACTCTTCATCAATGAGTTTGTGGCGTACGAGAAACTGTCTGAGTTGAAGAACAACAGAATCGAAGGACTGGATAAAGTCATCGAAGGCCAAACAAAGTGGATATCTGTGAGTGATGTTTGAAAGTTGTTTTTCATCCACGTCAACAAAATGTTCCACCAAAGTTCTAAGCTACGTCTTCTCCCTGCCACAGATTCGGGCGGAAATCATCTCCACATACGCTCTGTGTGGATTTGCTAACTTCAGCTCACTGGGTATCGTGATCGGAGGCCTGTGTAGGTGTTTTGTCATTCCATCACATTGTTGTCCATACTTTGTTTTGGTGTCAGAAGCATTTTTGGTCCAACGTTATATTTATTTCCTAAGCTATAATCTACTGCTGCTAAATATTTTTCTTATTTTATTTTATTTAGTTTGTTACAATTTAACAATTAGCATGGCTTTTATAAATGTGTTTACTTTACAGTCCTACTTAAGTGGGCTTCGTTGTAATTTTTATTTTTATTTGCGGTCTTATTATTGTTGAACTTTACTAAGACTTAGATTATGTAGATGTTTGATCTTACTCTGACATTGTTGCTCCTGTCGGCGTTTTGATCACATCCCAATGACTCACAGCATGTTTTTTGTTTTCTTCTTCATTTAAGCCGCTATATGCCCAACAAGACGGAGTGACATCTCCTCGCTAGTGTTCAGGGCCATGATCGTTGGAACAACCGTGTCCCTCATCAATGCTTGCATTGCAGGTGAGAGCTTTTACATTTTAGTTTTTAAATTATAGCACATTTTCACCAGAAGAACATGCTGCAGTACGGTTGGACTTTGTTTTTTCCAGGGATCCTCTTTGTTCCTCCCATGGACTGTGTGGGGTTATTCAGTGTCTCCGATTTCAACGGCACAGATGTAGTCGTTCAAAAGTGTTGTCAAGAACTCTTTAAAAGGTAGGAATGATTACAGAAGTCCATCACTAACATGTAAATCAATACTATCATATATCGATCTATCACTGCTGTGGTAGTTTGGAAATACATTTTTTTTAAATCTCTAATTGTTTGAGGCATATCATGGGCATTGAAACAAATAGTGAACATGTTAGTGCAACTAAAAAAGTTTTTGGACAAACTCACCAAAATCACATGGTTGACGGTCAGTAAATCTCTCCATAAATCAGTCCAACTGGAGGGTGTGTTGCTCCTACTCCATTGTTTCGAGGAGATTAGACCCAGAAGTAAAAAAAAAAGAAGAAAAAAATATAAAAGCATAGCAGCATTAGCATGACAGCACACTCCAAAATTTGCCCATGAATGACACTGACACCAATAAATAGCATTACCACTTTCTTATTAGCATTAGCAGCAATTAGCCACAAGATAGAAAGTCACACACTAACCAATGAGAGAACATTCTAGTAGCATAGCGTAAGAAGCAGTTTTATCCGTTTTTTTTCCAACACCTTGTGAATGACACAGTTATCAACACAATATTCTTGTAGCCAAAGTTGACTTCTGGAGAGTTCCACCACAGTTACAGTGTTGCTTTAACACAGTACGATCTGCTCTCACCTACAACTGTATTCTTCTTCTTCAGCACGGTGAACAATGGGACTGTGTCTTTTGTGGGCATGTGGAACACAGTAGCCAACGTCAGCGTGTACTTTTCTAACTGTTGTCAGTGTTGTGGCGTTTCTAATGGAGCTCTCTGCGTCTAAAAGAGAAGAAGAAAACAGCGTCACCCAACTGTAAACCAGCGTTTATTTTTCTACAGTTCACAGATGTATATTTTATTGTTTTCACACGTGTATCTCTCTGCTAATGTAAAAAAATGTAAAAACCTGACGATACTGTAATCTGTATCGGAATAATGTGTACTGATATTACTGTACCTCTGACAAGGAGTTTTAGTAAAGATGGAGCATTAATGAAAGTATTTTGTTTTTTGACACACCTGGGTTTGATGAATGTACATATTTTTAATAAAACAAATAATTTTGGCACAGTAAAAACTCAGCATGTATTAAGGGAATCGTAGTCATTCTGTGGCCTCCATGTGGTAGAAAATGAACATTGACCTAGGACAGAGCCATCTTTCTGTAGCTTCTTTTTCTTTTTTCATTTACGTGTACGTTTAATTTATTTCCTAATATTCCTTTGTTAACGAAAAAAAATGTATTATACATTTTGCAGCATATTAAAATTTTTTGCTGATATATATTTGAGTTTATTGTCATTAAACTATGACTTGAAATCATGTGAGAAAAAAAACCTTTTAGATAAAGAAAATTTTAAACCATGAAATGTATAATAAAATGTCAATCACTCTTTGACACAAATGACTTTTATTTGTTAAAAAAAAAAACATCAGCTGACACGGCACATTTATTCAATCATTCACTCATTCACACAGACCATCAGGCGTTTAATGTTTGTTTGGTTTTTTCCCCCCACCCATGTTATTTAGTCCTTTACCACTGAATATGTACACATTTAATGAATGGGAAATGCAACACTTCAGTGCAATTCCTCTAACAATATTTTTTTTTTCATAAGGCCTTCATGCAGTCAAGCCCAACAGCGTTTGTATGAGGGACTAAAACAGTTAGTCAAAAACTGGGGCCGAAATTTTTCGTCCTAAAGTTTCATGTTTGCAATGATCTGGATGTCACAAAAGTCCACACACACAGGCCTGGATGGGTGGACCATGACCCAGGAAGTCAGGTGTCAACATTCTCGCCATATGTTCTGTTTCCCATCAGGCCTGTGTTGAGGCTGTCGCTAAAGTAAAAGCGGTTCACTGGCTGAAGTCTGTTTGTAGCCCTTCTCTGTGACACGTGTAGCTCACGATGGTAATTCTGCACGAACCAGCCCTGGATGGTAACCGGTAAATTGCTAATTTGCCAGTTGGTGGCGCTGTCATCTGATTTTGTTCGTGAACTAAATTGTTTCTTCTCTAGTGTTTTTTTTTGTGCTTCTTTTTCCCGTGCATCGTCATCATTTTTTTTCTTTTTTGCTTCTTTTTCCCGTGCATTGTCATCAAATTATTGTCTGTTAAAATTTAACCCAGAGTATTTTCATGAAATCAGTATATGAAAAAAAAAACACATTCCAATCCAATGATTATACTTTGACATCATAGCTAAACTAACGTGACCTTAGCAGACTTTCACTTGGCCTACATTGAATTTTCAGGCCAACTGGTATGCATCCCACTTTTTGGCCCATTCTGCACCCACATACAAAAGCTGATTGGGCTAGAAAAAAAGAAAGAAAAAAAAAAAAAAGAAAAACAGCAGCGTGCTATCATTGTGGATTAACTGTACCTGAGCAACATTCACATGTGTAAAGTCAAGCACAGGGTGTTTTCACCCCCCCCCCCCTCTCCCCCCGAAGTTGGGTTCAACTGTGCCTTTATCTCAGTCCATAGTACAACTCAGTGGGAACAAAGTCACGTGTCCATCAGCATTAGCACGTCACAGCTGACAGGTTCACCATTTATGACTCAGGTGTTGAGAGATTGTGTAACACAACCTACCATAAAGTGATGATTTATACACAGATACAGACAAACACAGACATAAAATCTACTAAAAAAAAGAAGACCCAAAACAAAGTGCGCAAAATTATATGTGTGGGTTTTTTTTACCTTTCTCCTGCAGCATGAGCTCAACGTTGCTGGTTGGTGAATTTCTGAACAGACTGTTCTAATAGTAAACATAGATATTAACGAAACCTTTGAAATAAACCTTTACACCATGCACACTTACCGTAACGTACATCACAGACGGGCATGCAGCGTTTCATACACACACCTCCAACCTCAGCTGTATCTGCGGCTCTGATCGCATCAAGTATTTAATACCTGTCGGTCTGAATGATTCAAACATATTTCACAGTTTTAAAACAGCGATTCAACGTCGTTGTCACAAAGACCAGGAATTCTCCACAATATCTGAATGCTTTTTACACAGGCCAGAAATTCATCGTCACATTTTGTAGGATCTTAAATAAGTCCTCTCTAAAGCTGATGGGTTTTGCAGTACTAGGATTTGACAAAACTGAGATCAACCATCAACTACTAAAATTACCCATCACTTAGGAAACACTGGTTTAAAGCAAAGAAAGAACAGAAGAAATGGGCATAGCTGTAGCTGCTTAAATAATGAAAACATTTGAGGAGATCTAAGATGGAAATTAGACTTAATTTTGAAGAAATCCCTTACGACTGTCAGAGTCTAACTGAACTGACCTGTCATTTACAAATGTTTTCCAGCAACTTACTCTGTTAATATATCGGTCTAAAGTTTCCATAGGTCAACTTTTCTTTCTTAAAAGTCATCACGGACTTGCATTGTACATGGACATGGCCTGATGCCTTCTATAACGACCAAGAAATGTCTTTCTTCAAAGGCAGGAGCCGACAGAAGCATGATGAATAATAAAAAAAACTGAAATGAAAAAAAAAAAACAAAAACCCCATAATAAACAAGCGGTTGAGAGGATAATATCGTCAGAGAATTAGCCATGTCATTTCCAGTCTCTGCAACTAGCTAAAGTTGGAGAGGAAAGATTGAGGTTGGGACAGCCAGGAGAGGGCGTAAAAGAGGTAGATCCATGGATGTAGTGAAGGATGATCTGCAGATGAATGTTGGAATAACAGAGAACATTGAAGTGAAGGCAGGTCATGTGCTCTAGTGACCTTAAAAGGGAGCAGCTGGAGGAAAAAGGAGCGATCATCTCCCCCTGGTGGCTCAGTACCAACTGCCGTCTTCTTCCTGAGCTGTACTTCAGAAACAAATGGCTATGTCCCCTTCTTGTGAACAGCCTTTGAGATGAAGCTGACAAATATACAGTATACCTATAAGGTAAAACGCTTCGAGTCCATCACCCTAAATACTCTCTAAACCAGAGGTCCCCAACCACCGGGGCCCGGACCAATATTGGGCCGCAATGAGAAAAAAAAAAGGTTTTAAATTTGATTTAATATCTGCGTAAAAGTGATGTTTTATTTTGAAAATTGACTGGATCTTCCGATCACAAACGGCTCTTAACACATTTCAAGACATCTTTCAAAATAAAAGTCTTTGGAGAGCAAAAAGGGGAGAAAAAAAAGTTTAAGCTTCAAAAAAGGAGAGTTTTTTTTACAGTAAAATTCCAGATGGATCACCACAGCTTTCTCTCTGATGGATTATTAAATACACGTTTTATTATTGCGGTTTTTACGCCAAAAAAAAAAGTTGGGGACCTCTGCTTTAAACTCTTAAAACTCGCAATTATTATTAATAGTTTCTATGTTGAAATTCACAGTTAGACGTCCTTACTCTCGCTCTTCCCTCCTGTGCCATCGTGGGTCATCGTAAAGAATCTGACATTTTACCTGATACAGACGAAGCTCTTCTTCTTATCTCATTTCCAGAGCTCCCACAGTCTCTGAAGGCTTCAGGTTCTGAGTCTCAGGTTTGTTGTCCTCCAACTCCTGAATCTTTCTGGTCACCTTGGGACTAGAGTTAGCCTTCCTGGTTGTCTGGGGACTCTGTCCTTTACGCTGCGTCTGCGGGCTGCTGGACCCTATCTTGCGGTTGAGGAGTGGGCTCCTGGAGCCTTTAATCTTGGTGGACTGGCTCTCCATGGACTTCAGGGGGCGCAGCCCGAGGAGTCCGCAGTAGTAGTTGCACTGATGGTGAGTCTGGAACTGTTCGAAGACGTCAGGGGAGCCAACCTCCGTTAATCCTTGGTATCTGGAAGACAAAGCACAACAACCAAAGTCAAAGCCGTTGATAATAAAAACAGCCCTGAATGTCCTGTAAATATGTGGAGGAATACTGACCCTTTTGACTTGGTCACTACTCCAATGTTAGTCAGCCTGGTTTCAACACCTGAATGACAGGGAACATTTCAATGAGCTTTTTTTATTTCTGCCATGAATTGTTGGCTCCTCCTGTTAACACTAGGGGGCGTGTAATGGGCAGAATCTGGGTATACAACACAGGGGCGTAGATTGAGGGTTTTTTTGTAAACAGTGTAACCAACACCAGGAATATTGGACTGGGAATTGGTGAGAAAAAAAATCAGTAACTGATGACTGAAGAGATTGATACGATATCCTGGTACGAAATAACGCAATATTTCAGTGTATCAATGTTATGCCACGCCCCTTTTTGAATTTAGTTTACCTTCCAGTCTCGTCACAAGTAAGTTCCCATGTGTCCACTGGTGGATCCAGTGCTGGAAAGTGCTGCATTTCAGCTCCACTTCAGAGCTAGTTCGCGTGAACAACTTCCCTTTAGGGTCAATGGTACAGTACTGAATAAAGTCACCTTCCAGATCTGCCTCCACCGAGGCGTACGGCACCGAGTTCGCAGGTCGGTACATCAGATACCGAGGAATCACTCTGGAAACATTAAAAAAAAAAAAAACACGGATCAGACCGATCCTGGAGCGCTGGAGGAAAATGTTTTTATTGATCTGCTACTCACTCGAGTGAAAACCCAAAGTTCTCATTGACTCTTGCTTCTGCTGCAAAGATTTTACAGTATTCCCGAATCATGTCTTGGACTTTGCATTCCTGGTGTCAAAAACAAATGTGTCCAGTCAGACCCGTGTCGGTTCAGATCAAAACCCACTGAATTACACCCACCACTCACGTGCTTGGTGATCTCCAGATTCCTCTCTGCCAGGTTGCTCTCCTGTTTAGTTCCGTACGGGATGAGGTTGTGGATTTTGATGATGCAGTTTATTCCAGAGTCAAAGACAGGATCCAGACCATAGATGACCCTCACCCGACTGGTCTTGTGAGCGTAGCCCTCCCCCATCTGAACTTTCTCTGTCATGATGCGGCCAAAGTATTTCTCAGCCCAGATCCCGCTGTCGACCAGGCCTTTGGGGAACAGCAGTGGCGTCATCTCAATTTCCTCTCCAACTGGGAAAAAAAGTAAAGTTTCAGTCAAAATTCCACTTCTTCTTCTATTTGTAGACGTAAAAAAAAAACAGAATAATCTTGATCTTAATGAAGCCTTCAGCACAAGGTAGACATGTATTCAGGTATATTTGATTTTTTTAAAAGGTATTTTTCCTACCTTCCAAATCATCTCGAAGCAGTATTTCAGCCAGAACTGCAACAACAACAGTGATAAGTTACACATTTATCAATGGGTGTATTCACAGGAAAATAGATTAGATAGAAAATCTCTGTCCGTCTTACCATCTTCACTGAGGAGGAAGTCCGTGGTGTCCGTCCCATATTCATTATTGATCGTGCAGCCATAAACACCGCAGTCTTGGTTGGATGCTAAAATGATAGCAAGCGCTACCTGGGTTTCGTCACCGCCGCTGGAGAGCAGAACAAAACAAGAGTTGGAAAACAAAAGGGACATCCTGTACACTACATTTGACAGTTCACAGAGTGTCCACAAGGTGTCAGTAACATGCAAATGGCCAGCAGTGTCGGTAGTCTGCTGACACAGCAACCAGAGGACCATACATAGACTTTAATGTGTCCTGGAGATGAGAAAAATATTGTGTCAGGTTACAGTTTGTGGGTCTGCGTCACAGCTGTGGGGTTCAACAGTCACATGAGCTGGATGTCTCACTGCAGTGAGAACACGAGAATAACAGAAGGTACACGGCCCAAATTAATCCCACCGGTCTTCGCAGAATTATTGTTTCATATATTTTGGAAAGCAGTCATGTGGGCGGCAAATCCTCGGAGTGACAGCGGTGAAGTGGGCGGGGTTTCTAGGGTTAATGAGTTGAAGTCATGTGGTGCCGTTTCTGAGTGGTGTCACAGGTGGTTAAAGGAAGTGAAAGAAAACAGGCTGAGGTTTACCTTCGCTTCACTTCTAGTATTTCCTCCTCATCTTTGAACCACTTGATGGTGGAGTCGCTGAGTACGTTGAAGAACTGGCACCACAGCTTCAGGTGTCCGGAGGCATCCGGGAAAGGTTCTCCCCTGATCTTACGGATGACCTGAGGTGCTGGTGGTGCAAGAAAAATAAAACAGGAGGAGCAGTGGGTACGATGTGTACCCAACACTGGCAAATGGTGAATCTACTTTATACCGGAGACTGGAGTATGAGGAACGTAATGTTACCACTTCCTAAAGTGATGGGCCAAATAAAAGAGCACGCCTGTGAGAAAATGTTAATGTTATAAATAAAAACAGAACTCAACTAAAGTAGTAGCATTTAACAAAATTTACTGAAAAAGAAAATATAAAATGTGTATATAAAATAGTTTTTTTTTAGTCGTTAAAATGACGTTATACACCGTACATCAGAATATAATGTTTTATTGTAAGTCTCACAACAGTGGAGCTAAAGATTTGGCCAAAATGATCAGTTTGACGTCATCTGATAATATCGATATTAATCGGCCCAATATTAGCATATTTTGTAATATCTGTAATAATCATTGTCAGTTTTTCCTCCGATAATGAAAACCCGATAATGCAATAAGAGGGTTTTGCCAAATGATGTGTGCAGATGTGGATAAACAGCTGAATAATAAAGCGAAGGTCACTAGATGGCAGCATTGCAGCTCATTTAATTAATCTCATACTCATGTAGTGGTTTGTACAGATAGATAAATATTACCAGGCCTTCATCGTTAACGTTAAACCAAAGAGAGGGTATAATCCGGAATATTTATTTTTACCTTTCAAGGGATCGGGTTTCTTTTCAGCCTGTTTCTCCTCTTTCTTGCTGACTGGTTCTTCTTTGGGAATCGGCTCCTCCGTGGCCTTCGGCACCTCCAGCGTTGCTTTCCTGCGGTCCAGCAGAGGGGAGCGCCTCTCCATGGGTGGAGTGTTGGGTCCTTTGGAGGCCTGCAGCAGAGCCGCTCTGCGTGCCTGGCTGGGAGACATGTAGGGGTTGTCCTTCTTGCCCTGAGCGTCCACCGCTCCGTCCCCGTCATCTTTGGCTTTTGGAATGAAGATTTTGCGGCGAGCTCCAGACGCCAGTTCCTCTGGAGTGGCGGAGCGTATGAGCGTCAGGCTGTCCCTGCGCTTCATTCTGGGACTGTTCTCACAGGAGAGGGAGGTCGTGGGCGTGGAGCCCCCACTCAGGTCCTCGTCTGCTTTGTCTCCAGTGACGGTGTCACCGTCTAAGTCTGAGAGAGTTTTGGACATAAATCTGCGAAGACTGGCTGGACTTAAGGAAGGATGAGCCGGAGGTTTAGAACTGAGTCGGTCAACAGACGACCTGTTCCTCTGAAGGTCCTCGACAGATACGAAAGTCTCACTTTTGGGATCTTTGAGAGGTTTCACCTTCATCGTCAAATCAGGAACAACGATGACGTCGTCCGATGTCTTGTTGAAAGATGGTACGTTATCAGTGACCTTTGGCAGCACGACTTTTGGAGTTTCGGGAAGCAAATCCTCCTTCACACTCTTTTGGGCCTCTTCTTCAATGTTCTGCTTTCTACTTTTCTCAGGCCTCACTGTGACACTGCCACCCACATCCTGCTTGATTTCTCTCTGTATGAAGCTCACAGTTTCAGTTTCTGCCCACTCAGCTCTCTTTGTGTGAAATTGGAGGGCAGGGTCACTTTCATGACAAGTGACAGAAATCGGTGGCACCACAAACAAAGATACCGTTGGAGCTTGTAAAGGTTGCGATGGTGAGAGTGGATTGTGTCCATTCACAGGAAGTGCGCTGTTGGTGTCATCAGAGCAGGAAATGTTTATGACAGGAAGTGAAGTGTATTCCATCTGAGGGAGCTCTATGCTTTTCCCCTCATCCTGCATTTTCACTTCCTGGTTTGGTTCCTTGACTACCTTGGTAGGCGAGAGGTTGTCTTCCCCCTGCATACCTGTGTCTGAGGGCGGTAAGCCCGGAGAATCAGACACACTCCTTTCTTCCATTATTAACTCGGATGACAGATCGGTCTGATCATGTTCCAGTTCAGGTTTTGGAATTTCTGATTCCACAACACTACATTCCTTGTGTTCAGGCTCCAATATTTCAATTTTAGGGATGATGAAGCGTTCATAGTTGCTTAGATCTGGTGTTGAGAAATGAGTGCTGTCGTCAACAACAGATATTTGGATCTGTGGAATTTTCTCGGAAGGCCACTGCAGCTGCGTCTGACTGTTATCGCTGCGTGCACTTTGACCAGGTTCTTCCGATACCTCACTCCTCAGCTCATTCAGTATCGACATAACTGGAGGTATTTCTGTATCCTCCAACATTTCTATTTCCTCCACCTTCCTCTCTGTCTCCGTCTCAGTCTGGGAATCCTCATTTTTCCCCTCTTCCTTCTCACCTTCTAACACTGTTTGCTCTTCTGTTTTGCACAACGTCTCAACCTGTAAACCTTCCTCTAGAGCAGGGCTAATTTCAACCTCTACGTGACTTCTGTCCTCACCCACAACAAGACCTGAACTTGAACTCTGTTCTGCGCTGAGGTTTTGGGCTCTCACAGTTTCCTCTGTGCCTTCACGCTCACTTTTCAGGTTAATCTTCTCTAAACTCGCTGCAGTGGGAGCAAGTTCTACCATCATTTCCTGAACCATTGCAGCACTTTCACTCTCCTCTACCGCAACACCCTTTTCTATCGTGTCTTCTGATACAGCTGAGGGTGGAAGCACCTGATCTGGTGTTTTTATTCCACAAGGTTCAATTTTCTCTACCAAAAAAGATAATTCTGTAAACTCAGATGTAACTTTATACGGCTCTTCCCTTATTTGTACTTCATCTTTTTTTCCCCCACACAACTCGTTGAAAGAGTTTCGTTCCTCCTTGGCGGTTCTTCCCTCTTCTTCTTCCATCTTGTAAAGAGTAGGTTCCTCTTGACACACTGTTTCAGTCGGTGCCCGGTCAGGGTTGTCACTCTCTGACTCTGAGATAAGACCTTGGAGGAGAACTGTGTCTTCTTCTGACGTAGTGATAGATGCCACGAGGGGGTGTCGTACTTCATCAGCTGCTTTGATCTCTGATAAGACGGACGCATCACTACAATCTGGATCTTTCAGTTTAGGAGGAACATGTTGAACAGCTGAGTCAGCCTGAGAATATATGTCTTTAATCTGTGGGAAAAAAAAGAAAAGAAAAAGAAAAGCAGAAACATCTCAGGGCTGATGTACTAAGAGAAACATACATTGGGATTTCCTTGCTGATATCTTGTCTTAGTTACTCAAATGGAAAGGAAAATCCCTCAGCACCGTTTTGATTTAATAAACAAGATAGTCCAGCTGCTCATTTCTTAACTGCTTTGGATGACTGAGAGACGACCGATCAGTCAACCACATGCACACGACTGAAAAGTTTCCATAAAACAGAAAAAAAAACCAACCCATAAACTAATCAAAAAAAAAAAAAAGAAGAAGAAAACTTCACAAAGAAAAATTGTCACAGATCGGATTATTTTTATCAGCTTTGCTGAATTAAAGTAGCGGTTTGTAGGAAGTACAGTTTTAAAAATGAGGTTCAGTGGAGCCTTTGAAGCAGGTTTTCAATAATAGTGTATAGCATTTTTACAATGCAAAGGAAAAGCATTTTGTTTTCCTATATCTTATAGGAACACATATATATATGTGTGTATACATATATTCATATAAATATATATTTTCTCCTTGAACATTTGTAAATATGGTTGATTTGGTATCCTTTACACAGTCATTGTACTTCAATTTTCTATTTCATTTAAATTTATGGTTACAGGCATGGCCTTTTTCTGATTTTCTTCTGACATATATTTTTAGTAAATGTAAACAAACATGTTTCTTGCTTGCTAAACGCAGCTTCAGCATAAAACGTTGGATACTGATGTATTTTAAGAAGTTTACGGTCATTTCTGGAAAGTGGGGTTTCAATATTTTATAACCTTGTTAACTTACTGCCGTCACCCACGACACGTTGACACCGGGACACTTTTAGACCGAGACACGTTTTTCTATCATAAATCAACACTGACACGCCAGCACAAAGTTTACGAAGTAAAAAAAAAAACCTGAGTAAATCATAAACCCGAGTTGAGAGTGTGAGTCTTTCACAAATGACATACGACAATCAGACAACACAGTCAACATATTTTATGACCTGTCAGCTTATTTCAGGAATCGGGCCGACACGTGTCACGTGCAGCCAGTACCAATGTGTACACCTTCAGTGGGGTTCTCTAAATAAAAAAAAAGAATCTTGCTTGGTGCGTCGTTTCTTCTAAACATTTTAAAATGATCTAAAAAAAATCAACTTCAATATCAATCACAATTGTTCTGGCTAACTTTGTGGACAGAACCAAATGCCTCTGAAATTAAATGTGCTTTTGTATTCACTGTGTGTTGAAACACTGGGGATTTCCCCTGTTTTACACAAGGCTGCTGTTTACACACTGATCCTGTGGCCAGAACTCAAACAACATGGCTCTGTTTTCACATCCTGTAAGCTTGACCAGAGGTCTAATCCGGCCCGAGACTTTAGACTTTAGGCCCAGGTTTTAGGTTTAATCTTGTAACATTTTATTCGTATTATTTCACCCAAACACTGCATCCATTCTAACCTGTACTGAACTGGTTCGGCGGTCACATTTTGAACCTCTTTTTGGCCCGTGAACCAAAAGGTTTTGCCCACTCTGCAATACAAAATAAGAAATGGTTCAGATTTCATTTTAATCTATATTGGACGAGTAAGATTTACACTTTAAGGGTAGATGTTTTGTTTTTTGTACTAGTTTCTGTTCATTAAATTATGTCTAACATTCGTTTTTTGTACTAGATTCTGTTCATTAAATTATGTCTAACATTACAGGTGTCTAAAAGTATAATATTCCTTAGATCAAATAATGGCTAAAACACATTATAACGAGAGTTTATGCAGAAGAATAACAAAGCCGCCCCGCGGTCTCGTGATAAAATGCCGTCATATAATAATGACATATTGTACAAATAAAGAAGTTGTGGCTTTCAGTGGAAGGGAACTGGACTCACGGTTACTCTAATGCTGCTCTCTTCATCCACACGTGTCCACTAGCAACTATTGATCAGTCTTGTGATAAAACAATGTTCAGGTGAAGGTTTCTCTGACTGGTCATCCATATACAAGTGTCAGATTACAGCCGTACACTCAAAGTTCCCCAAGTATGACTTACAAACCGCTCACCATTAAAACTTCTCTTTTTCCAACATACCATTGTCACCTCTGGGTACGAATCACAAATGACTAGAATAATAACCTCACAAGGAGAATAGAGAAACTGAATTGTTAACAGCAACGACGACGTGAAAGGAGGTAGAGCCATAAATACATTTAAAATAATTATGGCTATAATTTGATGTCAGCAAAATTAAAATAATGTGAGGAGATTTTAAAAAAGCAGTTAAAATATAACAATACTTATGCTGACAAAAAAACTCAATATATAGTAGTGCCTTCAATATCTCAATATATCGCAATATATTGTCCCTGTATCGTGATATATATATATATATCGTATCACCAGATTCTTGCCTAGTCAAGTGTGCAGGTCGCTTGTCCGAGCCACAGACAGACGTAATGAACATCTCTAACACGTGACAGACGCGAAACAACTCCTCTGCTGCCGTCCTCCTTCTTCTTCTCAACAGGAGGAAGGGGTTTATTTTAAGATATAGAGGACAGTGAGGAATGCATCTCTTTATCAGGCCTGGACCTGCCACCAGGGCGGCTCTGTCCAATACCACTCGTCCAAACCCATGCAGCACTTGTGGTGGAGAGTGCTGTTTGTAATCAGATCCATCTTTGACATTCAGGTTTCATCACAGTTCTCTGCAGCGCTGGCCTGTCAGTACGAACAAACACTCCTGCCTTACAGTGTGAAACGGTGTTTCTCATACATCACCACTGGCTGGTTAATGCCGTGTAACCAATGGCGTTAAACCACAGTCTCACACCCGACCTTTCACTGAGTCAATTACAATAAGACGAGCTATTGTTGAGGGGGATGTTTGATTAGATACAGCATAAAAGCACAGATTTATAGAAGGACAACTTATAGTACTACAGTACTATAGTACTACAGTACTACAGTGCGATCGGTGGTCTCTTTTAATAGCTTGTCATTTTTCTGGTTCTGGTTAACTGTGGTTAACTCTGACCAACTACTGTAGCAGGTTAACAAGTTAGTTTGAAATATGCAATTAATTAATTTGACTCAACAGCTTTGAAATGTTCTGTCATGAGAATCAAAATAAGGCTTGTGGGACAACATTGTTTGACTTTTTGAATGCACTAAATCAAGTTGCTTCTCTCACTCCTCAGTCAAACCCTAGGAGGTCAAACCTTTTTTCGTCCATTGTATCGCTGCATTTTCATAAAAAACACAAAGTACAACACAAAACTAAACTAAAAATACTGCAAATCTCTCTGCATTAAAAAATACGAGCCACTAAAACCACATCACTGTAAAAAAAAAAGCTCTATAACAGTAAAAACAACGGGCTGTCGTCCTGTGTTTAGCAAGTGCTATCACCTGCTAGCATAACCAACTGCTGTAAACCACAGAACCACTCTGTGTAATAATGTGTAAAATAAACCAACAACACCATAAGTGAGCACAAAGAACACACCCAACTGATAAAACCTCAAGTTTGAATGAACTTTATACAACGGAGAAGTTTAGTGCTCGTCACAAGCTAACGGCTAATATGACAAGTGAAACCAGCTGTTTACCGCCAACTGTTGAAACAGAGCTGAATGTATTTTTGTAAATAACCTAATTCCTCTCATTGCTTGGAACAAAGGCCGCAGCCCCACCTATTGGCTCAGTTGACCTGTAGCTGCTGTTCACCAGTAGGAGGGCGTACTGTGCCAAACAATGTACAATTATCTTACATACTGGGCACAATTTTAAGAAGCGATAGTCCTACATAGTTGTCCTAGGTCAAACCCTTGTCCCTGAAGAAGCTTATCTTCCTCCACAAATGCATTCTATTTATAACCTTTTAAAATGCTTCTGCCGCTCCACCCCACAGACCATTGTGCTTACCTCACTGTGAACCCGAGGCTGGATCAACGACGTATCCTGACCCAGACTGCTGCTCTCCGGCTCCACCTCCATGGCCTCCACAAGTTCCTCGGCCTCCTTGACCTCCTGCTCCGTGAGCTTCTCCACAAGCTCAGGTGGTTGTTTACGAGCTGTCGGCACCTCTTTGTGTGGAAAAAGGTCTTCCTGCTTGTGTTTGTGGGTGACGGTCAGAGACGCCAACTGTTGCACTTTATCCGTACTATCTGAAGGCGCCTCAGTCAGAGACGCCAACTGTTGTACTTTATCCGTACTATCTGAAGGCGCCTCGGGGTCATTTGTTTCCATTGGCACGATGCTCTCCACCAGAGGCCTGTGGACGTCTGGCGTACGTTGCGGTTGAAGCCTTGACGATGGTGGCGTTTCTGGCTGACCAGGGTCGCGGTCCAACTCTTTCTCCTTGCTGCCCCTGTGGTCGCGGGAATCCTTCTTGGTTTTGCCAAAAAGGAAGTCTTTGACAGAGTGGAACACAGATGATATGGACGCCTGGATGTTGTGGTGTTCGTGATCCTTGTGAGCTCTGCTGTGATGTTTGGCCTCCAAACTGTGTTTCCTGTGGACTGAAGCAGGCGACGACTCCAGGGATTTTTCTTTTTCAGTCACTTTTTCTGACGCCATGACCTCTTCCCGGTTTTCCACCATGTCTTGGTCTTCCGTCCAAGGTTTTCCACGTTCTTCCCTCTCTGAGTCTGTACTGTCAGTTAAGCGTTTCTCCAGTGGAGGTGAGCTCTGTTTCTCCTCGGCAGCCTGAGACTGGAGAGTCTCTGCAAGAAACTGCGCCAAACCCTTCCCTCCATCGTAATGATTTTCACTTCCGTTACCAGTCACTTGACTCTTGCCGTTGTTACTACTGCTGCTAGTAGCACCGCCAACTCCAGCATCCACTCCATTTGAGATCTTTATTTTTTTCTTGGCCAAAGGGTCACTAGGGGGTGATATGTCCATCTTCAGGTCACTTCCTGTGGAAGGCACCGGCGTCGTTTCCGCTGTAACTCCATTGACTTCTGCAGCAGCTCCCATTTGTTCTGCGTCGTCGGGCTTCTTCACCACAAGATTCTCCTGTGGTGGTTGCATGTGTCTCTTCCTCGGAGGACGTTCTGGACTGCTCTGCGGTGGCCTCTCCGCTGGTGTGTTTTCTTTATCCTGCTTCTTGGTTTGAGCATCCAGGTCTTTCTTCTTCTTTTCTGCTTTCTGCTTCAGCTTCTCGAAGAACCGTTGGTGTATCTTGAACTCGTTCATTGTGCCGACCTCAAGAACTCCTGAGCAGGAGACGATCCCCTTGCTGTTGCTGGCTGAGACTTGATAGATGGCCGCATCATCCAGTGTGCAGCTGAGAAACACAAGAGACAATTTTACTCATTTTTGTGAGTGACATTAAATTGCGCAAATTGCGTATAGCTGTTGATTCACTTTCAGTCATTCCTTTTTGCGATTTGCCGGCAGCAATAAAAACACATACTTGTAAATTTGGAGAGTGTGGGTTTTTCCGTTCCGACGAATCTCATATTTTGGGAGTCCACAGTAACGGTCCATTTCAGTGTCATCTTTGTACCATTTCAGTTCTGGAGCTGGGGTTCCTGTGTTTCCCAGGAGACAATAAAAATTAAAAAAAGAAAAATGATTCATATCAACAAATTAATCTCTGAATGATATTGCAGATACAGCACATAATGTAGAGAGACTGGATAAAAAAATGCTTAAAGATAAAAAAAGGTTTGGTTAAAAACAACTTAAAAAATAGGTTAGATTTAGCAATGACTTTGATATGAAAGACTGGATGAAAAAGAAAATTGCCTAAAGATAAGAAAAGTTTTGGTTAAAAAAACAACTTAAAAAAAAGTTAGATTTAGCAATGACTTTGATATGAATTTAAATTAGCCTAATTACACAATAACATAAAACATTAAAATAATAAATATTAACAATTGCAAATAAACTGTAGTTGAGACATAACTACAGGTTACAAACTATACGCCAGGAACAAAAGCTTTCTGAGAAAACATCAAGTGTTGCAACAAAACGTTTTCTTCTGCAAGACCATTATTTGTAATTGGAAAAAAAAAATAGTTTCGGAAGTGTCACAATTGGCCATGGGGCTGGTCTTTAAACCTCCATGAAGTAAACAAAACACAGTCACAGGTTTGGTATGAATGTGTTTCATAGGCTGTTGCATCATGTACAGGATCCGTCACACGGCAGCAGCTGCCAGCGTTAATGGGGTCCACCCCGTTTAATCTGCCGCTAGCTCTAAACACATCCTGAGATGCAGGCCCAGTCATGACACTGTTTGTTATGTTCAGGAAGCAGGATGACACAACCGGATTAATGCGTTCAAGATTTACACAAACGTCTGTAGAAGTGATTCCAATTATATCTGGTTTCCTGGCAGTTCTGGATTTCAAGGCGCCATATAAAGTAGATTATTTATTTTTTTAAAGTACCTCAAACTACAAGTACAACTTGTATATAGATAGACAGACAGACTTCTCTTCTCTTTGGGATTTACTTTTGTTCCCCTAGCAACCTTCACCAGGATAAAACATTAAAAGAATGATTAGAAATCAGGCGGCAACTCCACCAGACCCACCTGACACCACGCAGCTGAACTTCACGTTACAGTTTTCCGAGACTGCCTTTGACTTCAGGGTGGTTTCAAACGAGGGTTGCACGTCCTCCGTCAGCTGGGCCATGACGGTGCAGAGTGTGCTCCTGGAAGAAAGCGTTTTCAAAGTATAACTTTTTTTTTTTAATTTTCTTTTACAGACGTCTGTGACATTTCACACTCGTGACATCTGTGACCTGGTGCGGCACATTCTCAGGAAGGGATGTTAGAGGAAAGTCCTGGTAGTGAATAAAGTTTGTGAAAGAAGTGGCATGGGAGGAAGTCAGGCAAAACAAAGTGGTGAATGCAACCAAAAAAAAAAAAAAGAAAAAACCCAGAAAAACACTGTTTGTAAACAAGACTGAATGCAACACTGGACAAATTGAACATTGTAGTCAGGGATAAAACCAATTGTTTTGGTTAAGATGTTAGTCGGGAGGGATGTTTTAAAAGTATGGATTACCTCATTGGCCTGTAGTGAGAATACCTTGAATAGCTATTCGGAGAGGAGGCAAATGATTAATTATGATCTGTGTACAAATGGAACCCACCTGACAAAGTTGCTCTGATAAATGCCTTCCTCTTTCACAACCTTAACATCTTGTCATTTTAATAATGTAAGTCATGTATTTAATGAGTAACTCTGAACAACAGCAAAACAACCAACAACTTTCTATTCCTATGTAGATGTAATCAACATGAATGAATTTTTTTTCTGCAATGTTTTTCTCGATGCAATCTTGTAGAACAATTTTCCGAACATCCCAGCTTCCGTTATACCATTCCATACATTTTCTAACTGAACATTAAATGGGTAAAACTCTGATGGCGTCTCTTATCTTTCAATGTCTATTTTTTTAATTAAAAAAATTCAGATTGCAGATATTCAAGGCTGCGTACCTGTTTTCAGGCCGAACGTTCGAGAGGTAACTATTGCTCCTCTCTCTTCGGCCGTTAGAAGAGTTGCCATCCTCGTCGTTGAAGCTGCTTGTCCTCCCATTGGCAGAAAAAGAGCGTGTCATCGGCCGTCTGGAAGTCATTGTCCACTGGAGGGATTCACAGAAATTTCACAAAAACGATTGACATACACAGATGGGACCCAAAAATACTCAGGACTCAAGTTTGGCAAAGTAGTCCATGTAAAAAACCCTGGGAAAAGAAGAAGGAGAAAGGGGGGGGGCTCAGAATGATGATAATATTTGATGAAGTTTGACAACGGAGCTGGCAGGACAAAGCAGGGAATTTATGTTCAACAAGACACAGTCCAGACTGCGGGCTTGTCCTTTTCAAAAACCAAGCACAGCTCTTGTCTTAAAGCAAGTTATAAATAGATCAGCTATCAAGTTGTGGAAGGGCTGTTTGTGGTCAAACCCAGACCAGAAACATGCCGTTAAACTTTACGGGTTGAGAATATCAAGTCATTGTCCCAAAGCCGTCCAGCAGGATTAGTAGTAAAATAATTGGACTTACCATTGAAATGTTGCCAGTGTTGCTGTGGGACCTGTAGAGACTGCGGAGAAAAAACTCTCCAACTGCCTATCATAGACATGCATGTGTTGCCAGCACGCTCCTATTTATAGAGGGCCTTCAAATAGGCGCAGGAGCAAATCAGTTTCTCTGGAACAAGACTTTAGACTTGTCACATAAGTGTTTAAAAAATATAATTGACTTGTTAAAAAAAAAAAAAAAAAGTCCTTTAGATTCCCATTGCTAAGCAAAGCTACGCTGGGATTAATCCCTCAAAGGTAAACATTACTCAGCCTGGTGAGAAACATACTGTAAATGAGTAGATGCTGCTTTACCCAACATGTCTGTATAGGATGCAGCTCATGACGTGGATTCATGTCAACCAATGGTCCACGTCCCTTGTTTTGCTACACAGCTTCAATAGCACAGCTCTGCCCTGACGTCATTCGACACATGATCAAAACATATTGGCTCACACGCTGCTCACATTACGCATCAATTAAACAAGATCCCACAACATATGGACCGTGGGTTAAATGTGAAAAGACATGCATGTTATTATTCTACATGATTCTACTGAAACCCAAGGGATAGGTTAATAATCAAAACTATATTTATGTAAAATTTTAAACATGTATAAACACTTCCAAAGGGTGAACATTCAACATGAAATTCAAGACAGACCAGAGGGATAAGATCCCAGATAAAGCACAACAGCAACAGAAGACTATTAAAAAAAAAATTAAACATGACAAACCAAACAGGTTAAATTACCGAAATCAAAAGCTAGATATTTGCCCAGACACTAAAAATATTAAAAAAATAAATAATTAAAAAAACAATCTCAGAGTTGTTGATATTGACATGAAAATAGCTCCAGGATACAGTAGCATATTTTACAGTGAATAAGATTTAAGCAACATAAACATGTATTTAAAGAAAGTAGCATTTAAAATGTATTTTTAAAAAAAACACTATTTATGTACTAAAGCTGGTCCCTGAACCAGCATTTGGATATGCTTGTTTCATGATATCAACTGCTAGCAAAAAAAGTATGGCAAGTATACGAATCATTTTCCTAGTTGCTTTAATGGTTTAAATTTATGAGATTAATTCATACCGTTTAGCTGTAACTTACTGTTGGCTTTAGCCTTAAAGCTCATTACCCTAATGTCATAAATAACGTCTCTATGTACATTAATTACAAAGTATATATGACAGTCGAGACACGGTATTTTGCTGTGCCGATATTATGAAGTTAAAAAAAGAGGAATTAAAGTTGTTTTTTAAATGGCGAATAAACATTAGGTAAACTTTTTAAGATTTTAAAAAACCAACTTGCCCTCGTATTATAGTCTTTACGGTAAGTATAACTGCGAGGGTGTGTGTATGCACTTCTTCTTTCCGGGAACGGGAAGTGCTTTTTTTTTTTCTTCTAGTAGATATTTATTTGAGTTGAATAGAAATGCAACACATTCTGACCGAGAGGCGACACGGACGCAGCTGGGTACGGGCTGAGTTTCATTGTTTCATTGTTGTTGTTTATACATATAAAAATGTATAATGGAGTTTCTTTTAAATATAATAAATTGATAATCTTATTTTTTTAAAGCGACACATTGTTGATGTCGATGTTGTATTACTTTCTTATATTCCACGCGATAATATATACTTTGAACTGAAGTTAATCCGCTGACGTTAAAGCTGCATTTATTTACTGTACGCCGATTTTGTTTTTTAAACAAAAAGCTGCATTTATTTACTGTACGCCGATTTCATACAGATGGCAAAAAAAAAAAAAAAGCTATTTTCATGTCAGATTTTTTATTTAAAATTTAGTTTTGGGATTTCTTTAAATTTTTCCTTAAAAACGACAGTTATTCTGTAAAAAAAAAAACGGTCGTTGTGATTGTGAAAAATCGTTTAGTTACTCGGAACTTAGCTAAGCAGTGCTAGTAAAAGTTAGTAACTAGTCTCATATTAGTCTTTTGACATAAGGCGATATAATTTTTTTTAACATTCAGCAGGTTGTGCATTTAATGTTCTGCAATAAAGCCACCGATTAGTATCATGATATTTGATTATAATAAATATAATGGAGTAGTTCATAATAAGTATCGGTTGCATTGTTGGAAATATTGATTATTATGAAATTATAATTTAAAACACAATATTGAATTTTGGAGTTTTGTTTAGTAATGTTGTGTAGTAATAATGTGTTTTTAAATCTTCTACTTGACTCCATTTTACTTTTTTTTTTAAATTCTATATTCAATCGTGATCTTTTTCCTATGGCTCAATTTTAAAGTAACCACAATAACCAACCACTCTGCATGTTCATCTTCTTGTCCATGAACATGCCGTGGGGTATTTCCCAGAGTGGAGAATTTCTCATGCAAACACATGCATTTCACAGCAAACAGAAAGAAAAATAGTAGTCAGTTGTCTGTCTCACACACATCTACAAAAGTTCTTAAAAAAATCTTGCACTCCAACTAATACAACTAATTTCTACAAACGACTTGTTTTTTCCATTTCCAAAACAGAATAAGAAGAAGCTGAAAAAGAAGGAGAAGAAGAGAATGCACAAATAATCACTCCCAGTGATTAATAATGATCACAGGTATGAGAGGAGCTCTTTTTTTTTTTTTTTTTTTTAGAATGAAGAGATTATTAGTAATCACTGATGATTTCCTTGTGATTCTGTGTTGCAGATATCTTCATTGTGCGTCAGCCTTACTCTGTGTGTGTTCCTGTGAACCACAGAGTCACCCTGAGTGTCCGTGCCCAGGGCACGGGTAACCTCCAGTACCAGTGGTTCACCCCTGACAATGAGGTTTGTAGGTTTCATATTTGCTCGGCCACATTTCCAGAGATAATTTTCTAAAACCTGATTTTAATTTTTTTTTATCTAGGTTTTTGGTGGAACTCTTGCAGACCTGACCATCAAAGCTACAAAATCACAGCTCTTTGTCTGCAGAATTAATGACAACTACTGCAACTGTGTCTTCAGTGAATGGGTCAAAGTGAAGGTGCTGGACATCGACAAATCAGGTAAACAATGTTGCAAAATGTTTTGCCTTTTAAACTTTCACTTTTGTCTGAACTACTACACTGAACAACAAAGGTTTTTGGATCATTGATTTCTAGCTCATTTTAAAAGCTACATCTTGGACAACGTTATGCTATCGTTTGGCTAATTTAGAAATCCTTGCTGTGTCTTTTATGTCATCTGTATTTGTTTGTTAGTTAGTTTTGCACTCGTAATAAACAGGTAATAGGAAAAAGTCAAAAACCTGAATGGTTTTTCTTCCTCTAACTGCTAACTCCTGACCTTTGCCCTGATTCATTGCAGTGTCATTAAAAATGTCTCATTCTCTCTGTCAAAAACAAGGTTTACCTGAACACTGGCAGGGAACGCTGCACATCGCCGTCAACCCTAAACCCCAGACAGTGCGACCAGGTGAAAACTTCACTCTTCGCTGTGTGGCCTTTGGCATTCCCACCCCTCAGTATCAGTGGTACAGAAATGGACAGGGCCTGAAGGGAAAGACTAGAGACACTCTGCAGGTAACAAAGCCAGCGTGTGACTGTGTACTCAGTGCTGCGCACACACAGCCATGGTTAATGTTTCACCTGTGACCACAGACCGAAAAAGAAACGCTATGATGTAAACACATGCTTGTTGTAAACACATGCAGGTTGACGGTGCTACAGCTGAACATGGAGGAACGTACCTGTGTTCAGTCACCAACATCCTGCAGGAGAGATGGACAGAAGCTGTGGATGTTAATGTTGGTGAGTTACAAAAAAAAGTCTCTTTTCTCAATGTATGCCCAACCTATATAAAAAAAAAAACAACTCTCTCTTTCTCCTCAAACTGTGGCTTTCAGTTGTTTTTTTTTTACTGGGTTGGAGGTACTTTCCAAATGTTCACTGTAAAAAGGAAGTTATGACTCCAGGCAGCATTTGGTCCAAAGCCCAGAGACACAACAGGAAAGTGATGTAAAGTGAAACCAGCTCTTACAGCATTTCTACAGCTAGGCCTCATTTGTGCCGTTTCAATATTAGGGCAACATCAACCGATGAGTAAACAACACGTTTCAAATTCAATTTGTGTAGTAAACAAATGTATTTAAGCTCATGTAGTCACTGGTGTAATTTGAAAGCCATTTGAATGAAGTCGGAGCGCACAGAAATAGAAAAAATACATTCAAATTTGATTCAATGTAAAACTAAGAAAGAATGGAAATTTATCTTAAATAAAGAACACCTAAAATATTACTAATTTATAAAACAGAAGTGTTAGCTAACAGTTAGCAAATACAAATAGAAGGAAATAAAAAAAACAAGTGTGCTAAATTAACCTGCAAACCCTGGGGTCCTTTTTTTAAAAATCATCTCATTAGATTGTCAAGGGAAAAAAAAGTTTTGGGCTATGATACAGGGGCCAGAGTATGACATATAATGTTTGTTTGTTCCATTTTCCTCTAGTGGAGCCTGATCCTACTCCCCCAGCAGCACCTACAGGTACCATTAATGGAACTAATCACGTTTTTATTCCAGGCATATTTTGGTTTGTAGGAAAGGAACGTTTGCCTAAACGCTCATGTTTCCTTCCAGCCACAGATAAAGTGGCCCTGCTGATCGGAAACCTCAACTACTCTCAGCACCCGGGCCTGATGGCCCCCGTCATGGATGTGCACAAGTTGGCTAACCTGCTGCGGCAGCTGGGCTTCAGAGTGGTCTCCCTGCTGGACCTCACCAGAGACGAGATGCTGGCGGCCATCGAGAGGTTCATTCAGCTGCTGAACAGAGGAGTCTACGGTGAGAAGAGTTTGCCTTCAAACTACGGAAATACCTGCCGTGTTATCGCTCCACTCGTCACTGCTCACAGATAAGCCTTTCGGGCAGAGAGTGGGCAGATAAGGATGCTGCGGATGAGTGGGCGTCTGTGCACGTTATATTTAGCGCTTCCTGTCTGCATTTGGCTGAAACTCTTTATTATTTAAATGCAGCCGTATGTATTTAAAACACTTCACAAGGGTCTTGTGACGCTGTGGTGACAAATGGTTTTCTTAATCTGATCACTTAATACTTAAATAAACTGAAAAGATGTCAGATTATGTAAGTCAGAAAACTACAGTCAGCCACGAAGTAACTT